ATATCCTGATTTCTAGATTTCCGGTGTTTGTTTATTTATTACCTTATTTGTTTGCAAAAAATAATAGCAATTATGTAGTGAAAATTAAAATTTATTATATTAACATTTTAGTTTGAAAGTATTCAATTGAATTGGATTTATATGTCAAAATAGAAGCTATAAAATAAAAAGAACTTAATCTTCAGCTTGTGATAAGAACTAATTGTAAGGAATTAAAATAGTGAAATTTTGTATACACAAATACAATTTTCAATTTTATTACTCTCTATCAGGAATATTAAACATTTTTATAAACCATCTTTTATTATACTATTTATTAATGTGTCTAATAAGTTTTGCACTTTTATAAATCAAATATTCTTTATTGACTCCTTATCATTTATTCGATTTTGTTAAAATTTAACCTTCTTGTTTGTAAAAGTATTGATTAATGTCAAAATAGCCTTAACTGGATTTAATTAAATTGTTCACATGTTTTTGGTTTATTGCACATTTACTAGCCAAGTCAAGGGTTTGAATTTAGAAATTTACTGTCCTGATAACCCCTTTGCAACGGGTTACTAAAAAACGATGTGTAGTCTTAAAAAATTACAAACCATAAACTACACATGTAGTAAAGTTTTGTATTATTACATAAGCAATTTGGAAAAGTTAGTCGTAAAATATATTAGAAAAAATTGCACTGACCTTAGTGATATAAAGCACCAATACATATAGATATAAAATACATATGTATTATCATCATAAGGTCGTCAGTCCTAAAGCTGGTTGGACACGCACCTCCACTCTTTTTCCTATCCTGAGCTAATCTTCGCATTTTCTTAAAACTAGAACATCCCACATCCCTAACTATTTATGAACGGTAATCTAATCGAGGTTTACCTCTTCTCCTCTTAACCCCTGTTTCTGCCTCTAATATGTTACTGACTAGACCTTCATGCATGAGAAGGTGTTCTACCAACCTATCTTGCCTATTTCTTATTGACTTATGTATGTAGAGTCCTCTGTTCTTCTATTTTTTCTAATACCTTTTCATTTCTAACCTTCTCTATCCACGGTATCCTCATCATTCGCCTGTAACACCACATTTCAAACACTTCTAACCTTTTCTTTTAACAATCTTTTTTGAATTCCAAAATTAATCGTTCGCAAGCATAGTGACTTCTTTTTATTGAATACAACTCTACCCTGTGCTATCCTTTGCTTTATATCCCTACTACTCCTTCCGTCCTGACCTATCTGACTTCCTAGATACCTAAAATCAGCCACATCTTCTAATTTCTCGTCTCCTATCTTTATATTCGCTCTTTCCATTGCGTACCAGTATTTTTGTTTTACTTATACGTATTTATATGCATTAAAAATTATAAAAAAAAAATAGTCTCAGCTTTGAGCTTTGACAGACAAAAAACTTTGGGCTTTTATTCCTAGCAGCTGCTAATGATGGGCGGAGAGTCTACTCCGCAGGATAGGGCGAAAGACCCTCTTTAGCCTCCTAGGCTTCCCCACCTGAATGGATTTTATAAAAATTTCTTTAAAAACGGGGATGAATTCAAAATAACTTATTTGACGTTCTTGTAAAAATAGATACATTTCAATTACTAATTATTCTGAGAATCAGTTGTTGTTTGGAGACACGGAAATCCCGATGGAAAAAAATTGTCATCCGAATCGTGGTAGTCTATCTCTAGATGTTCTAAGCGGATGTTTCTTGATATTTCGTGAACGCATTTGTACATATTTACTATGTGTACTGGTATATTGGTAAACATCATTTACATCAGGGAATTCACGCTCAAAGTTCATTAGTTTTTATCAAATCCAGAGGCTTTCCACGTGACGCTGGTGGTTTCTGCATTCGTTTTATCGTTTATTGGCATTGGCTCGGGCCGGTCTGGCTTAAGCCAGTTCGAGTTTGATGCGGCGTTGTCAGACAGCACTTCCACGAAAACGAAATTTTACGTAGTGCGTGGAATTGTACATCAAACTTAAGACTGCATGACACTTGCTCGAAGTATTATACGTTAGTAAGGTCGTTTTCTCAGTCAGTAATATGCCGTTGTAACCGGTGATCCACAAGAATCATGTTGCGGCCCTTTGCTATTCGTTCTCGTGTTGGTCGGGTACGAGGCGAGCTGACAATGCCGCTAATCTTAAGCACATGTTTCCGGTGTGTCGTTAATGAGACTATAGACTAGAGGCTACGTAACAATGCGATTTGCCCCACTCTTCTCGTGACAAAGTCATTGAATTGATAAATGTGATAGCAAGGCGACTGCTGCAAGCAACTTGGTTGCCAACTCAGAACCGTTTGTTCGTTAGAACGATGAGTGAGTCAGGCCGACGAGTACAATAAGTTCTCGATTCTCGATCCCCATCATCATCGTCATCGTATCTAGCCTCTGAGTTGTGAAACTCAGTGAATGTCAGTCAGTTAGTTGGCTTTTTGTTGCTTTTGCGCGCGTGCAATCTCGACCGCGTGTTCGTTCGTGTGGGCAGAATTTTTGGCCATTTAAACACGAGGTCACTGACCATCAGCGGGTTAAATCAACTGTGATATTATTATTAAGTTATAAACGTAATACAATTCGATAATCAAAATGATGCAAACAAGAATCGGAACGGTCCAGGTCCAAAAAATGACCGTCCTGGAGAGCGACTTTCCCGCATCGTCCATTCCTGATATCTTGGAGGACTTCCTGTTTCTATTCAGACATTTAATATCAAGGGTAGGTCCTGTTTCTTTGTTTTACTTATTATGAAAGGCATTTCTGAGAATGGTTTCGCGTGTATGTGTGTGTATGTATGTATAAAAGGAAAAGGAGGCTCGGCTATGACGTAGCGTCTCGCTAGATTCTATACGTACCAGCAACGTTATGTAATAGATGGTATGAAATGGTCCTGATTTGGCGATATATGACTAACCAATCTCCTAGAAGTGGAACATGTGAAAATATATTCAGAATTTGACCTACATAGATACATAAATCTGTTAGATATATTGTAACATTATAACATAATATACAGAGCCACTTTTAAAGCTAAAAATTATGAAGATTCAAAAAATATTTTCCGTTTCTTCGCCTTAGTTTGCATATAAGTGGAAAATCAAAGCCACTGAGGGTTGTAAGGTTATTACTCCAATGTAAAACCGGTTTTTTATTCCGATGCAAAACCGGTTTTTTGTTCCAATGCAAAACCGGTTTCGTATTCCGATGCAAAACCTGTTTTTTAATCCAATGCAAAACCGGCTTTTTATTCCGATGCAAAAGCAGTTTTTTGTTCCAATGCAGAACTGGTTTACCAGGCAAAAAAATAATTGAAGTGCCAAAATACGAATAGTTGTACGTATTTATAGTAATTTTATTTCAGGAAACAGTTTCTTTCATAATACAGTATTTTGAAAAGGGACAGTTCTATTTTAAATTTTTATCAACGAAAGCTATCGAGCTATTGTTCCATTGGTTTTTGAATTTAATTATTAATTCCCCGTTTTAGAAAAACATATCAACAAGTCGATAGGGAAATTCCGCGTATCATTTTTAAACGTTCCTTTGTTAATATTTATTACCGATTGTGTTCGATACCATTTTGCGTAATTGATAGTTCAGTTTTTCTTTTCCAACTGCACCACAAACAGTAAACCAATGTTTTAAATTGTACATGTACCATTTTTATTAATTTATTTGTATATGTAATACTGATTGTTCATCAAAAATTTTTTCAACTTGGAAATAATATTTTTCTTAAACTTACACATTTACTGAAACATGAAAGGGTATGTTTTTGATGATTTAGATTGCTTTACGTAGTTATTGATGGACAAATTTAAACTTTGAAATTGTAACGTTCAGAATTGACAATTTTTATCGTAGTGCGATAGCGTTAGTTACAGCTTTATTAAATAATCTATACATGTACATGTACAATTGTACATACATATGTACAAGCATATCTCTAATTGTAAGTAAGCGAAGTTCGTTTAAAAGGTTTGGCGTATATCAACCTTTAAAATGTGTACTTTGATTTGCTTGTACATATATCAATAATTCTTTTAATTTATTGATAAAAGTTGAATGCGGACATTTTCTAACTATAATAATTAGTTTACTGTGAGTTTGTAAAAACTCCTATTACCTACTTAAATAATAACTAAGTATTACACATTTGCTATTAGTAAATTTCTAATTGAACATGGTGGTGCATAATAAGGTATCTAGTTGGTAGTTGAGCAGAACGCCTTTTAATCTATGTTGGGGTTGATTTGCAATACTTCCAAATTCGTTCAATATTTACAATTGAGCGACCACCACCAGGCCTTTCTGATGTGTGTCTAGCATCCCTAACCATTCCCCTTTCTTCAAAACATCCTACCATTTTGGTATATACTACTTGAATCCTATGACTTTTATGTGTAAACTGAAATGGAGAAACATTAAAGCTACAAAGAATTATAATTTTTAGGGTTCCGTACGTCCGAATGAAAAACGGAACCCTTATAGGGTCACTTGTGTGTCTGTCTGTCAACAATTTGTTCTGAATCTATTGGATTGATTAAGTTGAAATTTAGTACACATATGAATTTCTGTCACTTAAATTTTGAACATGGGTTTTGCAAACTGTACCGTGTGACATATCAAATGAAAGGGCTTGTTGTAAGGGTCACAAATACATTTAATAATTTCAAAATAAGTAAATAGTTTTGAAGTTATTTAAGAAAATATATCAAAATTGACCGTCGTCCGCTTATCTCAGAAACTAATGAACCTAAATTTTTTTAAAAAATACAGAAACTAGTTCTTTACGTACTCATTACAGGAAAATTAATAAGTCTATGGTCTGAACATAGCGTGCTAAATCTTTCAACAAAACAATATTGTGCATACAAATTTAGAACATGTTTTTTTTTCAACTACAATGTTAAGTAGGTTCTCGGGTTAGGGTTCCGTACTTCCGAATGAAAATGGGAACCCTTATAGAATCACTCGTGTGTCGCTCTGTCGTTTTTTTTTATTACTATACTTCCTGCAACAACAATTGTAATTTACTATGACTTTGGACTATTGCCAATAGACAGCGTCATATATATGATGCAATCATTTGGATTGCATACAACTTACCTTGTAGTTTAATATCTAAAAATAGAAGATCAAACGTACCGAGTGTTCAGATATATTCCTTTAGTTTCCCTTGTTATAACAATGTATAACAGATATGGGCTACAATAGGTTTAATCCTATTGTGACCTATTGTTTTGTCTATTAAGCGTATGTATACCGAGTGTTTTAGTTCGTTTTTTAGGTGCGCTCGATTCGATTGACTTTTCACAGTATTCGTAAAGAAAAAAATTTTATTATTACACTGTACTGTGCTGTAGTGTAAGGCCCTGATGTGTTTAGCCATCGCTAAGAATAATATTTTAGTTGGATTCTGAATTAAATTTTGTATCGTCTTTGAAGTTGAACTTCTTAATAAGTAATTTTTCGATTATAGATTCTGCGCGTAATTTCTTCAGCGAAATTTTCAAAATATTCACAAATTTATTCTCAGTTTTAATTCAATTCTTAAGCAGTGTAAAGATATCGTTATTCATGCTATGACCTTTCAAAACTTTGACCCGCCGAGGGAGAGACTTTATAATACATCCGTATGTATCTACGCAATATAATCATATTGTAATCAATAATTTCTTGTCTGTTGCTGTTAATTGTCTACATATATTTAATACGTTCGTGTTTGTGTAATTTAAATCGACTAACTGACACTACACATATTAAAAGCATGGATACCACAGACTGTCCATTATTTATTATCTGTTTTATGCATATTTATACGTATATTTTTGTTATAAAAGATAAGACTTTATTCTGATAAGCACTAATTGAACATGTACTGTATTAGGAAGCGCTATTAAAAATGTACTTAAAAAAATGATTAATAACAGTACAGGTAATCAATAATGTAGATCGATAGAGAAATACATATTTTATTAAAATTAAAATAACTGCCAATGTTTGGACAAAGTGTTGCAGGTGTTTAACAAACAAAATTAAGATTAATGCATCTCTGCAAAGTATAGTATTTCACGTTAAGTTAATTTTTTGTCATTGTCTTTCGCTTCTAATGAGTACAAATGTGGAACAAACTTGATAGATAATAGTTATGTTCCAATTTCTTTTTGCCCTCAATACTTTAAAACTGAAATTCTTTTATATTCGTTTATCATAATTGTGTGATGTGTTGTTAAAATATATTTATGTGTGATACCTTTTAATAAGTATTAATAAAATATATTACCGTCACCGCACAGCTGTGCAAACTAATTAAGGAGGTATGCTTAATTAAAACTTTGAAAGTAATTTGGAAGGTTGGTTATTTTTGATTAGATAATCATGCATTTTAATAAGCAAAATAATTATAATTTTCTCGTAGTTTGGACTTCTATTTGAAACTGTTTTGGTTAGTTTTAATCCTGGGCAAATTCATACGAATTAGGGGTCTGTTTTATCTAATTATCCAAAAGAAGAATAATAATAATAATAATATAATGTTGTAATAAGATTCACTTAATTTAATAAGTTTTGATTACTGACCTGTCTTTTTTATTATTATTATGTATAATTAGTGTCTCAGTCTATTGTATAACCACATGCCTCTTATGAAACTTGGTGATTTATTCAGTTTAAAATACAGTAGGTCACATTGACGTCACTAGATTAAATTGGTAGACGGATATGAAGTGGTAATACACGGTGTTTTATTAAATTATCAGCTTAGCTCAGCTGTTGTACTTACCTGCCGACCTTGTTACTTCCAAGAGTGGAAACACTAATTCGAATTGTTCTTATTATTCAATTATTTGATGCCCTATAACTACTCTTTTGNTACCAGATGATTTTACCACGGCCGAAATGCAAAGTGGAATGTGGTGGAGACATTTAATGGCAGGGGGTATCGCGGGGGCCGTATCCAGAACGTGCACAGCACCTTTTGATAGGCTCAAGGTTTTTCTCCAGGTTAGTTACAAAAATTGAATCTTTTTGACACGATTTCGTGTGTACCATCACGGGGACTTTTTCTAAAAGTTTACTTTAATTTTTAATCAGGTTCAACCTCAAAGGCAATCGATTGGTGAAAGTTTGAGGTACCTTTTTCGAGAGGGTGGTGTGTCAAGTTTTTGGCGTGGCAATGGTATTAATGTGGTGAAAATTGCTCCTGAATCCGCAATCAAATTCGCAGCGTACGAACAGATAAAAAGGCTAATAAAGGGCGAACATCAATGTAATCAACGATGATCCTGTTATAGAATCTTTAGATTTTGAATGTTTCTTTCGTTGCCTTTTTTATTTATTAATTGTCAGAGACAATTCCTGTTTGGTATTACTCATTTTATAAAATCACTTGCTGAGTCATTTTCGTTTTAACACTAAAACCGATAATACAAGGTTCTAGTAACAATAAAAATTCATGATTACAACATTACGTTTATTGTATATATAGCTACAGAGAGGTTTATAATGTATATACTTAAGACAAATTTTAATTATGAAAATAGTGACACCCTGTAGAAATGATACATATATACAACACTAACATGGTGTAGCTACGTAATTTTGTAATTTTTAATAACATAAAAATGTAATCTCTGCAAACTTATGTCTTTCCGCCCTTTTGTTTGAGAAACTGTTACTATATTTTTGAAACTTTGATAATGAAGCCAAGTATAAGTGGCCATCCGCACCTACTACCTATAAGGTTTTTCCTTTTTTACATTCTTCAATGATTATGGAAATCTATTTCCTCTAACTTCACCTTGTAGGTGAATTATTTCGAGTGCGTTGCTTCATGTCGTTTCTTTTTTTTTTTTATTCGACGCCTTCGGAATTGTTATGGGGGTTATTGCAAGTTGAAGGGTGACGTCATGGTAACTCGTACACACATACATACATACATAAAAAAAGTGAAATGTAAATTCCACGATCAACTTGTTGCTACCTAAAACTTAAAACCTCGATTTCCCGAGGTCGAATGTGCTATTACATTCGCGTGGCTTTCTAATTGATAAAATGCCATCTGCTCAGTAATCGCAACATTTTGCGTAAGCATTTTTAGAAATCGTTAAGAAAAAACTGCCACTTCGAGACCTAGACATTTAATTATTTTATACTTACGTACATATAAGATGATCCTCAAGAGCGATCTTAAATTATTTCGTTTTGTAATTGAAATATCATAGCATTAATTAGCTATTAAAATTAGTATACATAATTAGATATTGATTCCTTAACTCGATTTCGTTACTATGATTTTCATGAATTTTTGAGACAATATTGAAATACAATGTTTTTCGTAGCATGCAGTATTATAATATGAATATAGGTAGCGTAACTTTCTCCATTTACATCTGCAATGTTTTCTAATTCACTTTTACTTGAATACATTAACAAAATAATTTCCTTACTATATTGTAAGTACTATACTTTCTATAGTCGAGCACTAAAATAGTATAGTTATACTTACATTAAAATTACAAGCAATTAATTAGTAATATTAATAAATATAGTACTACCTTCGTTTCCTATTTTTTCTATTGTAGATATCATTTGGTCGTTTTTACATTTAAAATTTAAATCCCTTTTAAGCCCCCATTCTGTCTCTTGTAGGTAAGAAATCTTATAGTCGAGATGGATCGTCGAAGATGGTTAAATATAGATCGGGCCCAAAAATTTACTATGCTTTGGAGGAAATTGAAACGGGTAACTTGTTGTCCTTGTCATATAACGTCTCTTTTTTTTTTAATACACCCTATTTTTAACAAATTCATCTACAATACACCAAAAGTATGTAATTCTTAAAATCACAGATTATAGACGTATTATGTGTACGTCGCATATCCATACGAATTAGTTAGAAAAACATTTACTGTGAATCCATACTATAAAAAATGACCAGTAGGAATTTAATTATCATATCGCGTGATTCAATGGAATAGTAATAAAAAAAAACAATAAATAAATAACCATTCAGAAAGTAAATAGTCGTAGTATTTAAACGAAAGCCTGTCTAGTTATTGAGTAAAAGACAACATTATATTTACAGGATGATGATGAAAATCTACAGTGGAATTCGATTCATATTTTTCCAGTTGGGTATATAGGTTTAGATTTTTTTCCCTTTTTCTATAACATCATCACAGAACATACCGAATGTGTAGTACAATTGCACAGTTTTTATTACCCTTGAAAAAATCTAACCTATGGTTAATGTAAGTAACTAATTCGTTTTTGGTACAATTTAATACTGGGTTTTGTTACTACTACAATAAACGTTTTGTATACATTTATTTGAGTGCTTGTAAATGCTTGAACGTCTGAAGATGCGATGTAAAATGGTCTGAAACCATTTTTGTTTATTTTTGACATGTTAATAACACCACGAAGCAAGTTGGAAAATAAAAAATTTTCTAATGACTTTTTTCTGCTTCAGTATCTGGACATTGGGGAGGATATGAATGTACCAGATGATTTTACCACGGCCGAAATGCAAAGTGGAATGTGGTGGAGACATTTAATGGCAGGGGGTATCGCGGGGGCCGTATCCAGAACGTGCACAGCACCTTTTGATAGGCTCAAGGTTTTTCTCCAGGTTAGTTACAAAAATTGAATCTTTTTGACACGATTTCGTGTGTACCATCACGGGGACTTTTTCTAAAAGTTTACTTTAATTTTTAATCAGGTTCAACCTCAAAGGCAATCGATTGGTGAAAGTTTGAGGTACCTTTTTCGAGAGGGTGGTGTGTCAAGTTTTTGGCGTGGCAATGGTATTAATGTCGTGAAAATTGCTCCTGAATCCGCAATCAAATTCGCAGCGTACGAACAGATAAAAAGGCTAATAAAGGGCGAACATCAATCACCCCTCAGTATCTACGAACGATTTTGTGCTGGGGCGTTAGCCGGTGGCATAAGTCAGTCTGCAATTTACCCCCTCGAAGTGCTCAAGACGCGACTGGCACTGAGGAAAACCGGCCAGTACAAGGGTATCGTGGATGCAGCTATCAAGATTTACACCAACGAAGGGTTGAAAACGTTCTACCGCGGCTACATTCCCAACATGTTAGGCATTGCACCCTATGCAGGAATCGACCTGGCAGTTTACGAAACGCTCAAAAGAAAGTACCTTAGTTCGCACCCTAGTGAAGAGCAGCCCAGTTTCTGGATGTTGTTGGCATGTGGGAGCGCATCCTGTACTTTAGGTCAAATTTGCTCGTATCCCTTGGCATTGGTTAGGACGAGGCTACAAGCTCATGGTAAGTGTTTTTTTCCAGTCCCTTTGTCCTAAAACCCAATTGATGTCCCCCCCCCCACAGGAATCCATTTTTGAAGCCATTCAAGTATTATATAAATAAAGGGATATTTGTTTATCTTTAATGATATGGAAAGAGTAACACTTTACTTTTGCTGACAAGGGTGCAAGGGTGTTTAAAATTGATGAAAAGCTCTGCATTTGTAATGCTTGAATGGTACCATTTTGTCCATAATCCTAAAGGAGATTATTTTGTATTCTAATTTATTTATTCTTGTTTGTAGCTGTCGTCCAACCGAGTATGGATCCGTCTTCTATGACGATGTCGGGGGTGTTCAAAACAATTTTACAGACTGAGGGGGTCGTCGGACTATACAGAGGCATTACTCCCAACTTCATCAAAGTCCTACCCGCAGTTAGCATTAGCTACGTCGTCTACGAGTACTCGAGCCGGTTACTGGGCGTCAATATGACGTGATGAGCCGGGTGTTTAGACATGAATTTTTTTATTTATTTATTTGATTAAATAAAAAGTTATGTGGAAAAGGGAGACCACGAAAATTGCAAGCAGCGGCTTCATTACGGATAGATATTTCTCAGTCTTTTAACCACACAATTCAACATTACTGACGACTTAACGACGAGTAAAAATAATGTAATCGATATACGTTACACCTCAATAATTAACAATGTAATAATTAATAGCTTGCGTTAATATTAACGAAGCCGCTGCTACTGCTGCTGCTGTTGCTGTTGTTGCATTGACATTGTGACTTCTCCCCCATTATATTCACATATATTTATTTGTACAGATCTTGTATCGATAGGCCTTAATGCTTGTTGTTGATGTTCGTTTAAACTAAAACAACGTTTTTTTTTTAATATAACATCTTTTATCTGCATAACGTTGGCTGTTTACAAGGGGGCCCATATACGCTTGAAAATTGAAAAGTTAACGAAAACGATAAGTTATTTTAAGGGTGCTAATGTTTTGAATGATAGGATAAAATTGGCAGACGTGGAAGAAGAAGGAGTGCTTTTTTATTATTAAACTGTAACTAATTTAAATTTGTTTCTGTTTGTCCATGTAAAAGAAAATGATCTTACGTTTTACATCCTTGAAGTTTTTCAGGAAACTATGTATGTACTTTAATTAGGAGTGTATTGAAAATAACCAGATTTTTTCTACTCGTTTCCACTTCATAAGTAATTAAATTATGTCAAACAGTAAATAAATCGTAATGGTTTTTAATACAGGTACCACAAAGTAAAACCACAAAGCTATAAATTTTACTACTCTTGGTACTTGTTTGACATAATTCGACTATTTTTGGAGTAGAAATGGGAAAAGATAATGACACTAACACATGTTGTTTATCATTTTCGTACACTTATTTATTACTACCACTAATATTTTTTACAAAATCACTTGGTGTAATACAAACATTCCTCTTACTAATTTAAAATTAACCCCGAAAGCGAGTTGTTGTGACTTGTCAGACATGCGTTGTAGTTTATGCTAAGTACTATTTATAAAAAGAAAACAATAATGTGGCTGTAAGACATTATTTTAATCGTTTATGGGCCCTGCAGAGTACTCGTTACCTTTCTTTGTTCACTTGTTGTCAAAGTACGATAATGTAAAGTTTAAGCAAATTATCTGATTGCAATTCCATGATATTAAGACGTCTGATATCAATAGGGTAATTAAATGATGTGATGTACTTAGTATTTTAATATAATGTATTTATTTTTCCTTTAAATGTATTTATACATGCCGAATAAATGATTAAATCTAAATAATCGATTATTTTCAATTGAACACAACAACATGAAAAATTGAAATGCAAGAGTCCTTTATGAAATGATTTGTGTCCAAAATTGGTACCAAGGGGTCACTGTGGTTGTTGTACAGGTTCAGAAAAAGGAGAGCCCTCAACAAGTGGTCGAAACCCTAACCTGGAAATCTTTCATAAAGTTTTGCAGCCCTGATGACTCAATTAGATTTTAAAGTGCAAGGAACTATGTAGGAAAGTATTGCAGAAAACAATTACATACAAATCTAAGTCCCGAAAGGTCTGGAAGTACATTTTCAAATACGTAAACCCTGCCTAACTCAGTTGTACTTGAAAAAAATAAATTGCATTATCTACAGACTTCCATGAACTTTTCTTGGGGTGTTCAAGGATGAAATAAAGTGTCCTGACCTTTTTTACAACACCATTGCCTAATATTTCTTAAAATAAGCTTTTCTTCTTTTATTATAGGTTGTAATAAACACAACTTATTTATTATACTTTTCAGATGTAATTACATAAAGAATAGCTCTAAATGAAAATATTTATTCAACTACAATATTGCACTAATGCTTTAATTATATTTAAAACGAAATCATCTTATTTTTGATACAATTAATTTTGACATGAATGTAAATGTAAACAAATGACGTCACACAATTAATCAAACTATAGTCTAATTAATGGCAATTTTTCCATAAAATCTGCATTCATTAATTAAATTCTCTTTAAATACTTCAGCTATTACACCAGAAACATTTCTAGTGGTTTATGGAAGCTTGAGGAGCATTTCTAGTGTGCAAACGTGACGAAACTTGCTACAAATATTTTAATTAAAAAAGATGTTGATCGTACTATACATAGGTCATATGTTGGCGCGAACTTTCGCGCGAAACTATGAAAATCGACCTTATATAACTTATGCTCTCCTAATACAAAATTGTGAAATTTTAAGACCGATGCGATTCTAAGATTTCCGGCGCATCCACCAAATTTGCATCATTAATTCTTAGTTTTTTAATGTAAAAGGTAAGTTGTACAGGGGTTAATTTTGACCGAAAAACAAAATATAATTTCATTTTTGGTCAAAAATAATGCAAACTAAAGCGTATTTAGATCATTTATTGAGTAATCTTTGATGTTAGATGTGATTTATTGAAAAAGTAAGCAAAACTATTCTGCCAAAGTTCGATTTTCATTCCTATACGTGGGTCGACCGTTACCGAAAAAAACCTAAAAAAACACCACAAATAATTATTTCCTGACAAAAATAAAGCCAGCGGGGGCTCTTTATATCATTTATTGGTTTATCTATATCATCAGTTATCATCTATCGATGAAATGAGCAAAAGTATTTGGCAGAAGTTCGATTTCGGTTCCCAAAAATAACCCATGTATAGCTACCTGTCGATTGTTTTTGGGAACCGAAATCGAACTTCGGCCAAATATTTTTGCTTAATTCATCGATAAATGATAACTGATGGTATAGATTAACCAGTAAATGATATAAAGAGCTTCCGCTTGCTTTATTTTTCCCAAAAAAATATTATTTACGGTGTTTTTTACGTTTTTAAGGTCAAGGTATAGGAATTAAAATCGAACTTTTGCAGCAAATTTTTACTAAATTCATTAATAAATAATATAAGAAATTCTGCAAACTTTACGTCTACAGAAATTAATATTATGATTTATTGAAAATTGTGACTTGGAATTGTTTTTAAATTTCAATTCTGTCTAGTACTTATATGTATTTTGTAGGTTTCCATTTTACTTCAGAACATTCGTTTGATAATAAAAAGAGTCGCTTTTACAAATTTCGTTTATTAATTAGATACGTTTAACATAAGAACAAGCGAAAGTTTTGGTTATATTATTATTTCGAATAATGTCTTGCGGCCTCTTTGTCTAGAATCCAGTAAAGTTCCCCAGAAGATGGCTGAACTCTCCCAGCTGGTAAATCTTCCTTATCTACCAATATCCTCTAGAAAGAAAAGTACATATAAATTAATTATGCATTTCCTTATAATTGGGTAACGAATAGATAACACTAAAGCCTAAAATAAAGAGTCATTTTTAATGTTTAATTTAATTCACCGCTTAAACAAAAGTGCATATTACATAGTTTTCCTAACATAAAAAAAAAACCAGTAGCTTCCAATATCATATGGGAGGGAGACTGACGATATTTGTGGTGGTGGTAGGTTCACCCGGGCCGGTAAGGTGTTGATGATGGACTAAAAAGGTCTGTATCAGTAGCGACTGAGCTACATCAGGCGTTGGTCGTGTATGTTATGGTAAGAGAGGAAACTAAGGGGATAATTACTTGATGTAATTGTTCTCCTGGATTTAAGCTAAATAATGATCTCGAGTGCAGGCGTCTTTACAATGAGTTAAGGTTAGTGATGATTCCAGGAAGGTGACCAGAAGGCAAAGTCCCTCCTGGGGAGTACCGCGTAGATTCAGCAGAAAGACTGTGTATTTTGGAAGATTTAGGAATAGTTTACAACTTACGATTTAGCTTTGCATTAGAGAGAATTTAAATGCTTTCCAGTGCGTCTACATTAATTTTGGCAACTTATAACCATCCTTGAAAATATTGCTTCGCAGTGCGTTGATTGACGAAAACTTATATTAGAACTGAAAAGCTAATTGATGAAGAGCTTCAAGAAGAATTATATGTAGAAAATTAAACAAAAATCACAACTGCTGAGCTACATCAGGCGTCTCTTCTCTAGGTTGAGAATGGAAACTAACGGGGAATTACCTGACGTAATTATTCTCCAGGATTTAAGCTAAGCAGTGGCTCCGATTGCAGGCGTCTTTGTTGAATCCAGAGGGGTGATATAGAGGAAAACCCCCTGGGAAAAATCAGAAGAAATGGAAAAATCAACTCTTCTCCTGAACCATCCAGAAACTATTGCTTCGCAGTTAAAAACTGTTAATTACATAAAGACTGAAAAGCCAATTGATGAAGAGTTTCATGAAGAATTATATGTAGAGAATGAACCAAAAACCACAACGATGAAGTTAGTAAAAAGTTTTTGAATGGGTACAATGGTAGATCAAAGAAAATGTCGTTTTAGCAATTAGAAGTCTCTTTAATAAGTTTTGAGTTTCAAGAGTCTATATTAATATTAATGTCACCAAAGCAGGCTTGAGTAAACGAATTTCAGAGATGGTTTACCTTTGTGAATTTCAAAAACCTAAATAGGTACATACCTTTACCATATCTGCCTTTCCTTCCCCAGCAATGGCAAAAACTGCAACTCTGGCATTGTTGATTACTGGAAAAGTGAGGGTAACCCTTTGGGGTGGAGGTTTGGGCGAATCTGTAATCGGAGCGACCCAAACTTTGTTCTCGTTTAAAAGTTGGTGCCCGGGAAACAGGGAACATGTGTGGCCATCTGGGCCCATGCCGAGTAACAACATGTCAAATCTGGGTAGCAAACTGCCGGGAAAGTACTCTGCCATCTGACGAACGTAATCCTTGGCTGCTTCATCAGCTGATCGAATTAAAAAATAATGAATCATTAAAAACACCGTTGCCAGATAGTTCAGCATGTGTTTAAAATCAAAACAATTACAATATAAAGTAACATATGCCATGCGGCATTATAAAACTACCCTTAAATAATATGTTGAAGTCCCCCTCTGAATATCTGCCTTATTGTTGTACCTTTTTCTCATTATTATATCACAATGATATGAAGGGTTAAAGTGGTATTTGCGCTAACACAGGGTTAAGAGAAACTAAATCTGACAACCCTGAAAATATATGTAATTCATTCACCTGAAACTCCTTGTTTTATTCGTACGAATTGATCCTCTTTGAGATTCACTTTTCCTATCAAATTCTTCTTGTACGTTCCGAACGTGGATTCGGGATCATCTTCAGGAACAACCCTTTCGTCGCAAAAGAAAAGTTTCCATTTACTCAAATCCGTCTTTAATTTTGGGATCGCCTCGTTCAAAAATTTCACTACCGAACCACCTGTAAAAGAAACGATTTGTCATCTATAAAATTCATATTTTTTAGTTATGTTAAAAACAAATAAATGACCTGATAATCCCACTTTGAAAGTCCCATCTCTTGTGATCGATGTATTTGAATTATTTTCCAATATAGAAGCAAGTTTGTTAATCAATTCGGTTTCGTTTTCTGTTACAATTACAGTCATCGTAACAAAAGTTGTTAAGAAATATACGTAGGACACTGTTATCAATAAAAAATTGAATTTGCTTTTGAAGTACATACATACAGTTTGGCTTATCTAATACTTGTATTACATCAGTCGATATAGCAGAGTAGTCACCTGCGACCTTGCTATAGAGTGAATGAAAAATCAGCTGGAAGAAATCATACAACAACAACTCAACAACAATTATGTAATAGTTTAATATCAATTTAAAGCAGCGGCGTAGACAAATACTTAAAAAAGGGAAATTAAGTATAAGTTATTGACCTAAAAGATGTAGTTTTAGTAACTTTTAGGTGTTTGCATCATTTCTTAAAGCAATTAAACTCCTATCCGTATCGCTTTAGTAATATTTCTTAAATGAAAATAATATTTTTGTATATATTTACGTAATTTTAACAAAAAATTTGGCACAGCGAAGTGCACCCTCCAACGCAGCGAACATGACTAACTCAGGAATGCGGAATTAATTATTTAAAAGCAGTCTGCAGGATCCGATTGGTTGCCTCATGCGGCGCCAACTTACCAGCCAATAGGAAATTAGGTCAAATTGCACGTGCCGCTTCGGAATGCGCTCACAAAAAAGTAATTTATGTAGGCGCCACCACTTGTTTTTAAAATACGGATTTTTATGCACTCCAGAAAAAATTAATAATTAATATAACAAATATATTATAGACGACACCCTGTACGTTCCACATTAACTGTACGTATTAATGTTGCATTCCCCTACCGTCATAACACAGGTCACTTAATGTTATTATTTATTGATAAGCACAAAACTCGTTCGTTGCCTTTTGAAGTTACCTAGTTTTTCCGGGAGCATTGTCCGGTCGTCTTGCATCCCCCATTTCACTTACCTTTCGTTCTCAGTCAGAATAATGTCAATACAGCGTCAATTTTCTTCATTAAGTATACAGAAGAGAATTGGGTCAGTACAACAACCCCTAAGTAATAATAAATATTATCATCAAATGGGACCTACCATGAATTAAATATTCAAGTATTGAAAAAGTTTAAACAATCTAGAATATATTTCAATACATTTCAACCCTATAACAAGCGTTTTTCGTGTTCTCGAAGGTGGACCCATTCTAGGTCACTGAACCACTTCAGTTTTGATAAACTTTTAATTGGTAAAATAAAGTTTCTTCTTCAGGGAGTTACAGGGGGTGTTTTGTTTAATAATAACTTCGACGCAGTGACATATCAAACATCGGCTAGTAATAAAGTTTTTATTTTATTTACGGTGAGGATATCGTGAAAGAAAAACCAATGTTGTTATAGACTGTCACGCAATTACACAATCAGTGTAGTACCGCAAGGTGGGTGAGAGGGGATAATTAACTGGACCCCGACAGGTGTATACCTACTCTGGACCCCAATTTCATACGTATCCAGGTGCGTATATATCCCTTGTACTTAGTTAATGTATAATTCATTAACTTACTGCCTTTATAATTAATAAAACGTACACAGAAAATCGATAAACTACCCTCTAAAGAAAACCTACTTATTTCTTTTCGGAAAATATTCGATTTTTTCGGGATTCGTCAGATCGGCCACGTGTCAGTCTGTCTGTGGGTTTGTCATAACATTTCTTCTTGAATTAACTAGCGGGTTGAGGTTCGAGGGATGTTTGAGGGTATTTTAATTAATTATGTAAGTACATAAAGACACAAATACAAACTGAAATGTAATGTAGGTATTAGAAAAAGGACTCTTTTTTGGGATTTGTATAAAATTAAGAGATTCCCAGAATTGTTTTCTACCTACTTGCTAAATAAATATATTACGTAGAAATCGATAACTGGAACCAACTGTTCTGGCTTTCGTTAGGGAAATAATAAGGATGAGGGTTGTTATCCTTTGCTCTAATTCATTATAAAGCACACAGCAAGAATTAGTGCGAATAAAACGAAAATCCTATCGCTTAACTGTACGTTTCTCCTTTATTCAAAAAGGTCTGAGTGTTTTTTATCGTATATGTATTTCGAAGAAAAATTGAGCATTCTTAACCTTTATTACATCTTAAAGAAGGTTTTCTTGTTCATTTAATGTGGACACATAAATTACAATCCAGCAAACGAAAAAAACTTCCTAGAAGGACGAAGGAAATCAAGTCTTCGTCTTCCAATAACTGACTATTATTTTAGAAGAACGAAACTTTTTACATTCGTTAAGAATTTAGGTGATGCCTAAAACTGAGCACTGGAAAAATGCAAAAATTGAAATTTATGAACTTGATGGAGGAAGTAAGGTTAGTTATTATTCGCTATATATATCCAGGTATGGTATTTTTAAACGACCTAACTTTTAAATTTGAAATATCAGACACCTTTAAAGTTCTGAAGTCAAAGAAGGTTTTCAAGGCCCTTAAATCTTATTTGTGCTCATTAAATTCATCTAGAAGCAGCAGACCAAGTAAACTAGCAACAATAATAAAAACAAAATTAGTTTTCTACAATTCAAACAGTTGAACAATAAAAAAATAATTGAAGAAAGTACAAACAAAAGCATCATTCAACAAATGAAACAGTTGATAACAAAAATACATCTCAAAACAGGTGAAGAAAGTGTTTTGTATGTATTTTTGTTTTAGTTATGTACTTTTTTCATAAAAGTGTCTTTTATATCGCTGTTTTAAGTAGGTAAATGAATTTATGCGATGGTTGATGCAGGGTGCATTATCGGTCAGATGTAAAGTTCGCCCTTTCCTCTTATAACGTTGAAATTGGCGCGAGTTCAGGGACATTTGACGATACCACTATACGTATTCTACCAACGCAGACGTTTCAGTAAATTAATTAAATGCAAGCGAAACACGGACGATATCAAGCGACGTTGCGCGGCGTCTTATAACGACGACGCAGACGGGGACTCCGCGACGACAGACAGGATGGCGCAACTAAGGACGCTTTAAAACAATGGACTTTTTAGATATACCGGGGTTGATAATCACATTTATGTACTTTTTAGTTTCTAAACCCAAAGTTTAGGTGCTCACACCCTGTATCTCAACAGTATCGTCAGTGGACAAAGGATTAATATTTTATCTGTTATAAACTGCCACTTGGGGGGTCACCAAACAGGCGAAAGTTGGGGGGTCATTGTTCAATTTACCAAAAAAATTATTGATAACACCTTGTATAGGTATATGTGTTGTACGGTAGACTTATGAAGGAAGCGTCCGCCACAGGCATCGTTGTGGCTGACGGCGTCGCGGCGAGCGTCGGTGTTAGACGTCGCGCTTACCTGCCTCTCCCTACCTGTGTAGCGTACTATGTAAGCGGTGAACGTGCTTTGTGTGTATGTGTAAATGAAGGGGTGGCATGTGTGGGTGTTTGATTCGTGATAGCGTCGCGTCGGCCGCGACAAATTTTTCGATGCAGTCGCGTGGCACACTACGATTCGCGCCCTCGTTACAACGAAAGTACTTACGATGATAACAAATGAACGAAGACAGATTGTTTGAAATTTGCGGTTTTTGTTTTTTTTTGTGCGCTGTTCAGTTTTTTCCTGCGGCAGGTAAATAAGGAAATAAATAATTGACAAGTGTTCTAAAGATGTTGAAGAATTTTTTTTTTGTTATTGAAAATTGAGTTCAAAGTTTTGGTCACCAAGAAAGTACAAAGGTATTTTTAAAGATTTAAAATTTTTTATTGTAAAATAATAAATTGGTCATGAAAATTACCAAGATAACCTCAAGATATAACATTCGTAATATTCTGGAATCCCAAATTCTATGGATAATCCGGCCGTTTTAATTTTTTCGGTTTGACTAGTTAAATTAAAAAAATAGTGTTCAAATGACTAGTAACCAAAAAAACGATTAAGAACATGTTTAAGTGCACATATTTATTTGAAATTCTTAGAAGATGTGAAATGGATATCCAACTTAAAACAACTTTACGAAATATCTACATTAACACAGAAGAAAAGTATAATCAACAAAAAAGGTAAGGGAGTGAATCTAATTCGATATTTTTTAATAGGAACAAACTAGAAATAAATAAAATTTAGAAATAAAAAAAAAATGCTACCAAAAAAAAATTTAAATATGTTTGCGTACATAACGACCTACTAAATAAAAAAGTATGACACAATAATTAATTTACGAACTTGATGTGCAAAAATATTTCATATTGTAATCGTCATTACTATAGAGAATATTCTAAATTTGCAACGAGATTTATTTAAAGCACTCAAATTACAACTTGAAGTGTCATGACGTATCAGATCTTAATGTAGATTAACACGAAGTTCATCAGATTAATTCGTTGAACAAATCAAGTCGTTTGTGATCATCGGGTGACGTATAAAGGATACGCTTATGGCCTGATGTTAATAAGTAGGACGAATATCAGAATGTCACTGAAAACGTATGCAGAAATGGATAATGGAGTATAAAATTGGATTATCGTTCTCGAGAAATACAGTTCACTTCGTATACATAGATATATATGCATGTATCTGACTAATCAATAGGACAGACTGACAGACATATATACATACATACATACATACATACGTATAATTGTTTACGTATATGTAACCGGCACGCATAACCCTCGATGAATTTTTTAAAATGCCGAAAAGGATTCATCAAACAGAATTAAGGCTTAAGCACCCATGTAAATTTGACCACAAACAAAAAAAAAGGTTCTATACAATCCTTGCCGAACCCTTTGGAGTTGAGTTTCAAAATATCCTTCCATATTTCTTGTATACATCATAAAGGAAACTTCAGGTATTTAGGTCCAAAGGGTTAGCCTGGACGTCGATGAGTAAGTATCTACTAATAAATATTTTAATTTCAAACAATAAAGGTAAGAGTGAAGCAATAATATTTTAATGCATACTTAATATCTCCTGTAGGGATAGATACACAGGGGCAAAAGATTAGTATGCTTTTAGATTTGCAGATGATATAGCAGTATTAGCATCTAGCAAGGAGGACCTAGGAATAGCTTTAAATAAAATGGAAGCGGTACTGACAGATCAGTACTGTATGAAAATAAATAAAAGTAAAACGAAAATACTGGTATGCAAGGGAAGAAAAAGTAGGGAAAGAACGAATATAAAGATAGGAGACGAAAAATTAGAAGAAGTGGCTGATGTTAGGTATCTAGGAAAGTCAGATAAGGCA